TTTTTTTTACAATTTGATATAATTACTGCTCTAAATGGGTCGCTCTGTCACCTAAAGGCATGTTTTACAGTCTCTATACTCCATTTAACGATTAATCGATTAAAATAGTTTATTTTAATAATCGATTAATCCGATTAATTGTTTCAGTCCTAAATCAGAGTAACTAAAACTCTAAGATTAATTGAATTTAGTTCTTAGTGTAATTTTTTTTTTTTGTTTGTTTTACAAAGAGATTAATTTACAGACATTGGGTTTTACAGAAAATTGTAGCCTTCCATTTATTATTTTTTAAGTGTAGGAATATAAAGGTAATTTCTCTTGGGGAAAAATGGAATGAGTGCTGATTGTGTTATAAAGTTATAATTTAATTGACTACCACAAAAAATAGTTTTTTAATCCATCATATGACAGATAATAGGTTAAATCAGAATAGTCATTGCACTATAGTTGTATGAAAAATCACAAATGACTACCAATATCTGTTGGGCTTTATTCAGACTTTTGTCGTCATTGTTTTTTTTTTGCTTGTTTTGATGGCCTTTCCCAGCCCTCTATCCCCAGAATTTATTTACATGCTAGTGGGGAAGAAGGTTAGGCTTTCCAGCGTTGACTGGCAGGAAAACTAGGAGAAGGGGGTGAAATGTAGCTAATCACATCATCAAACAATGATATAGCAGTTGGGTGTTTACCCAACATTTTGCAGCCCGGTTGTGAAGTCTCTTCTCCTTCCGTCTGTAATAGATGTAGCAAAGCCAAACTGAAGACGGCATGCATACTCACTGAATGTGCTAATTCTGTTTAAACAGCCAAACCTCCCAAAGGATAGAGCTCAACTATGTGACTCTGCTTCCATGTTGCCACCCTTAGCACACACTGTTAGTACAGTTACACACTGCTTGTAGATGCAGACTCTGTTTAACTCCCACTCCCTACACCCTCGACTGCAGTGCAGCTGAAAATGTGTTCCTCATTTTGCAGCTCTGTTTTCACTATTATTACTCTCTCCTTCCTTCCTGTGTCTAAATGCTCACTGGCCTATGTTGACCTGATGCTTTCTCTTCCAGCAAGGATGCTCTCACTCTACAGCTGCCAGGCTGTGGGGCTTGATTGAATAAACAGTATGCTGTTATGTTTTGGTTAAAAGCTGGGGGGGAAAAAAAACATGTGGTGACAAAACAAGAACAAATTGTTGATTTAGGGTGACTGCTCCAGGGTTAATGTTATTTCAGAACAATGTGCTCCAACATGGCAGACAACGGCTAGATAAAGCTCAATCTGTTGTACATCTGGGTGTGTTGGATCACTAAAAGACATTTCAGGACCGATTCCGCACTCCCAGGTGTCTTCTTTACGTATAGTTTAGGGAACATCACACAATGTTAATTTAAACAGACAGATTCAATTAGATATACCCGTTGTTGTTTTTTTAACAAACGCATTTAAACATAATAAATGACAAACTAATCCACTTTGTATTGTATAGTCAGAGTATCTGTTACAGTTGGGGTGTTTGAAAGTTGTAATTTTCATTATCTACTGTCCTCATTTCTTCATGTGTGTCTTGTTTGATAAGTTTTTCCCTTTTTGGAGATCTAACAGTTATAGGGGTTCATTCCTATCCCATTTTAATGTGGTTAAGGGTTATAATAGCTTTGTCCAAGTCATATTTTACACTTTTGGTGATTCTCTTCTATCGAGTTCCACTTGTAGCTTTTCTCTTATTTTCTTCTTAATGCAAACCTTTTTTTTTTTTTTTTTTAAGATTTTTAAACCTTTGATTTCATCCCATTACAGGATGTTTCTTTAAACGTTAAACTCCATGTCCCTGACTGTAACTCTTAAATGTGGATGTGTAATGGAGCGAAGGCTTCTTCCTTACTGAGTGGCGTTCTGAATGGCGTCATCAGAAGCATTTTACATTTACCAGTTTTTTTACGAAGTCTTTGCTTTTTTTGGCGTTGACTTTGAAGTTTTCTCACCAAACACGCTCATATCTGGGACAAAGCGTTTCTCGGTTTTGTTTCTCTGGCAAATAGAAATATCAGTCAGTCTTTTGGTTAAAGAGGCCTTTTCATACTCGAGGAAGGTAATACCCTACTTTACTCAATGTGAGAATATGTGTTTTTCATTTTTCTGGTAAATGTTAACATTGTTGTGATCAGTGTCAGCTGTTGCTTTACCTCAAACTTTTGCTTAGGTTAGCCTTTTCTTGTCTCAACATGCAGACAGCAGACTTATCTGTATGGACAAATTACAGTTGAGAGCCAATAATAAGGCCCTGCTTGGTGTGGTGTTATATTTACATCTGTTTGCACCAGAGATGCTGGATGAAGGAGCTGTAGTTATAAATTAAGGAGTTTCTGCTGTTCTTTAGTTCCAGAAATGATAGATGTCCATCTTGGAGATCAATATAGTTGAGAACTTAAAGCTCAGTTCTTCAAGAATATGATCTGTACACTTATAGTAGCATAAGCATCATGTTTTTTTTTTAAAGCAAAATGGATCTCACTGCTTCCCCCAGAAAACTGGCTAAGCTTGGGGTTAGGCGTCGCTAAAATAGCCTACAAGCAGTCCATAGTGTTTAAGTTTAAAAAATGCTAATAGTAGATGAAAAATGTCAAAATATGAGTCATTATTGTAGAATTAATGGACAAAACTTAAACCTCATTAAAAGCATACTATCTTGTATAACAGACAACTATTGAAATAAATACTTTTTGCACTGAAATTATAATCTTGATAAAGTAATCAGCCAGTAAACATTAAAGTAAGCAGTATGATGCTGGTAACTAGGGCTACCCCAATATATTAATATCGGATATCACTCCGGTATTAGCCAATTGATTAATATGGTATTTTCTTGGCTGGTGTTCTGTCAAAACAGCATACGCTGTCAGATCGGCATACAGTGTTCTAATACACATGCGCAACAGAGAATTATTCACATATTTAATTTTAGCAGAATTGTACTGGCCACCAAAAACATGTTTATTTTAACTTAAAAAAAAAAGAAAATCAGCTTTGTATATACTGTGATTGCTTGGATGTAGAAACAGATGATGGAAGTTTCTGCGATGTTGAGAGAAGAAGCCTCCTAAAGCTAAGACCGTCCATCCATTTTCTGTCACGCCTCATCCCTGCAAAGGGTGCTGGTGCCTATCTCCAGCTGTCTACGGGTGCGTGGCGGGCTACACCCTGGACAGGTCGGCATGGCAACCGGGTACAAACAGCTTTTTAGAGAGAAGTTAGAGTAATGGTTAATGGGAGGAAGCTGGAGTACCCGGAGAGAACCCATGCATGCTCAGGGAGAACATGACAAGTCCATGCAGAAAGACCCCAGGCCGGGAATCGAACCCGGAACCTTGTTGCTGCAAGGCAGTGCTGCTCACTGTGCAATTGAACAGCCACTTAGTTAAAACCATATTAGTCAATAATGATTTAAAAAAAATTTTACTTTGATGCAAAAAAGAAGGTGCTGGAATTTAAGTTCGATTAGGTTTTGTTTTCATGTTTAAATATTAGAAAACTGGCTGTGGTTTATTTTGTGACTGAATTAATTTAGGTTGGATAAAAATGTATCGTATGGCAATCTGACAGCATATCCTGTTCTGACAGAACACTGGCATCTAAAATCTCAGATATTTTCATGCTGGTAAAAACTCCCCTGTTTAAGGTTTCATTAACTCATTGGTTAATATAATATGGGTCAGTTGTTCTCAGACCTATTTTTGTTAGACTTAGACAGATTTATTTTATCATTTTGTATACACAAGTCTAAACAAAAATAAATTTTGTTTAGAACAGCTCTCTAGACAATTTCATTTTTTAAAGTGCAGCCTTGATGAGGTAAGCAGCAGTTGTTGTTGAGCTGCTACTATGGCCTCCAGCTCCTGAAGCACTCGCTTTTCCTGGCTGAGGGGAGGAAGAGGACGATGGTGACGATGCTGTGAGGATGGTAGCCCCCTGGGTTGAAGAGGCTGACGTGGTTGAAGCAGCAGTGGTGCCATCGGCAGGTTTAGCAGCAACAGACGATGCTGGAGAAGATGTGGAAGCTGGAGGGGGCCGAGAGGAGCAGGCTGGGGATGTTTCAGCATTTGGCAGAGAAGCATCTAGAGTGCTCTCCTCATTTACACCTTCAGAGGGCTGTGCTTCTAGTCTGGGTGCCATTCCGAACTTATCTCTCTTTAGCTTCGCAGTTGGCCCACCTCTGCAGCTTCGCTTTCTCCGTCTCACGCATCTCTTCTTGCATTTGTTATTTTCCGTTGTCTTGTTGACACCCGTCCCTAGCATTCCGCAGCTTTTGAAACTGTCAAAAATGTCTGCATTGAAACATTTTGTGACCGTAGCTCCAGCAGGCATTGGCGATCATCGATGCGGGTTTGATGTCTAGTTGGTATTGTTTTTAAGAGCATATTTTGTGTAATTGTCGGGAGGAGATGCTCTTGGCCGCTGCCTTGGAGCGCCACCATGGATGCTTTGTTGTTGACTATGGCTCTGTTTTAATAATCTCTTGATTACAGTCAGGGTTCCCGCTGGGTTCCCGTCTTTAAAATCCTGAAAATGTTGGAAATACAAAAAGAAAATAAGTTTGAGGCCTTGAAACCACCTTGCTATGACTGCCATGTTTACACGACTCATTCTTAGGCCGACTGGAATTTACTCTGATTACTTGTGTCGATGCGAACATAGCTGTAGATGATAAATGAAATCATAGCTTCACATGGTACTTGAATTTAAGGGAATTGGTTCTGGAAAGCATTTAAATTCAATATGTGGGAATTTTGTCCCATTTATTTCTTGTTTTTGCTTAAATACTTTACTAAAGACTTCCTCACACTTTTCAGAGTTTTTTTCCTTTTTTTTTTTATCAATTATCTTTCACATTAAAATATTGAAATCTTCTATGTTATGTGATATATTTTTTATTTAAGATTTTTATAGCTGGATTACTTGTAATGTAAATCATGTGATACTGATGAAAAGCGCCTTTTGAAGTATGTACAGGTCTTTTTTTTTTTTTTTTTTTTAAACAGATGTCCATGCATTAAGTGTCTTTATTGGAATACGCCCAAAATCCAACACCTGATCTTTCGGGAACATTAGTTATTCATGCATACTATATTTATTAGAATGTACTGAGTAAAGTTTTGCTGGGTTGTAGAATCATTCATCCTCTGATGTCTCGCTGTCAGGATTTTAATAGAAACAGTCTCGTTTGGCCGTGTCATCCCTTAGAAGCTGGATTGGAATATTGTAAAATTATCCCACTGCTTTTCTTGCATAACTATAATCTTCTAAAAGGATGTCTTGTTTCCATGGCAATGCCTTTGGTTTCCATGGTGACTGCACTCTCAACATGAGCAAAGTCTCTTGGAGTACAGTGGGCCCACATTTCTGAGGGGGATTCTGTGAAACGACAGCATTGAACATCGCTGGAGGACACTTCCTGTGTCTGGAGCTCTTGGAGTGAAAAATTATCAATCTTCTTTTATATTGACAGCTGATGCTTACGTTACAGCCATGCGTATTCAGACTCTTTGTACTTATTAAGTGATAACTCAACGCTGTTTACAAGGCACCACATGTGTTTTGTCTGAAAAACATGCAAACATATTACCGGTATATGAGATGATTATTAGGAATCTTACTGTAAACTTTGGCATAAAGTAACTTGTGGATATAAGTAAGCAAATACTAAATCAAGGCAGAGATTCTCCTAGAAAAGAAAAGGGGGAATAAAGAATTAATTATTTTCCCTGTTATTGTTCAACCGTAATGGAGAAGTTTCCTAAAAGCTGATTTATTTATTTAATTTTTTTCCTTCTCCCTAAATAAAGCCTGTGTTCAGCCAGCTCACTCCTGGTCCACAGCAACAAGTTATTCATGACTTCTGGTTTCATTGTTCTGGATCCTGTCAGTAAAGTTTTGCAATACAAAAAGTTGGGTTATTGTTGTTTAAAAAATTGTTTACATAATTTAAGGGGAAAGATGATCAACTAGCTCATTTCAATGCAGAGTTAAGTATTTATCTTAGGCCTCAATCAATGTGTTAGTTCTAATCCTTCATCTTCAACCGGGGGTTCGCGGCCCCTAGGGCGTCCACAGAGGTGCTGCATGGGGGTTGCGAAAGTTTTAGTTGATTAGAGTTTTTTTTTTTTTCTCTTTTTCTTTGAAATGTCTCTACATAAACATTAACATGAATTCAACACATTGTAGTACACGGATAAATAGAGGCGGAAGATGTCTTTCAGTCATCAATGCACACATTCAGTGACACACCGGAGCTCTTTCAAGCTGGGCACCGTTTCATTCACAACACCTGTCCCATCAACCAGAAATCCGAATCAGAAATACTTTAATAATCCCAGGGTGAAATTACTTTTGTTATGTTACTCAATCTGTAATAGAGTGACTATAGGACCAGTTTTTATAAAACACAACTTCATACAATATATAATTGGGGAGTTCTGCTCCATCCCGCCATCAGTTTGGGGGTCCTTGGCCTGGAAAACGTTCAACACCCCTGTTCTAAGGCATTGGGCTGAAGTGGATACTGCTGTGTTTATCTTTTAAATTTGTTTCTTAGTTGTTAAGGCTACACCAAGAGATTGCTTTTTTTTGAGAGGTGATTTATTTTCTAATAAATGTAAGCAAAATGTTTCTTCAGCTTTTCTTGGCTGATTTTAACATAATACATCATCAAATCTGACATTTCTGTTTTCACTCCTCAGCTTAGAGTTTAAACCAATCAGTTGTGGCCTCTACACATTAATGATTATATAGAAAATCTCCTCTATTCAGCCTATTTGGACTGTGTTGCTTCATTGGACTCGGATGTTTAGTCCTGCTGCAGCTATAGCAACACAAACAAGAACATCCATCCGCAAGCTCAGCATGTGGCTTAACAGAAATCTGCAACAAAATGAATTAGACCTGACAGGGAGTCTGGAAGCATTAGGACCCCTACACCACCTCCCTGCGGAAATCAGATTGACACAGGTCAGTCTGCAGAACTCCAGGGATTTTAATTATCCGACTGGATTTAACTCCAGAGCTGTCAAAAATATTTAAATCTAACTAAACATTGAATGTTTTAATAGGGATATATTGGCACCTGTCCATGTTTGGGTGAAGTGGCAAATCATTTTAAGTGATTTTCTGACTTTTATTAACTCAAACCACGGCCTAGATTATCATCATATGGATATATCATCTTAAATCTCTCTTTTGTTGTTTTATTTTTACTGTATGCATTGAAATTTCCAATTTGTGCAAATTGGATGACCAAATGTGTAATTTTATTGTTAAAAGCAGAGCGTATGAGTGTGCTGAAGCATTAGACAGCATGTATATTCTATTCTATCTGAAAGTCCTCATGCTATAAATCTTAACCAGAAAGTTTAGTACAGCTTTTAAAGTTGTATACATTAACACAGCATTAAAATGCAAATCTTTAAATTAAAGCGGGGGATCTAATAGTGGAAAAATTGTTGGTTGAAATGGGATTGTTGATGAAAGGAGACAGAAACTCTGGGAGGATCCTGCAGCTCCTACAGCGATGCTGCATGCTTCAAGTCGGGGCACCAGTTGCCCTGGGAGTTGTGGCTGAGCTTTCTGTATTGATGCAGACTAATGGGCTGACTCAGTCTCTGCCAGCTTCACTTTGTGAATACTCGCTTGCACTTTTACTCTGGTGAAGTCTGCCCATATCCTGTTGGAGTCGAAGCCTAAGTGGGTTGTGCTGTGTCAGGTGGCTGGAGACCAGTTATCTGCTTAAACACAAGGCACCGAATCAAATCTCTAACTAGAAGTTGTCTTTTATCTGCAAATCACTTACATCCATGGGATTATTTTTCAGGTTTAGACCAACGGAGTACTTTATGTTTGCAAATTCAGTTATTTATTCCTTTGCATATATTAGGTTATTAGTTAAGCCATCAGCATGAAACAATAAAAAAAATAAAATAAAATAAAAATTCCTCTGGTGGTGAACAACTGAGCTATGATGAGGTGATTACTAACTGTGGTTTCATTTAATTTTTATGCCATTTCTTTGCCAGTTATTGATGGACTAGCTGTGTTTTTGTTTCACACAGAGGAAATCAATCCAAATTGACATGAAGTAGAAAACGCATGACTGACAGGAAGTAGAAGATGTAGGGGGTTTCAAAATTTGCTTTTTGCCTTAATGGGTCGTTAATTAGCTAGTGACCTGCCTGTGGAGCTTCCCGTGACTCTCCCACTGAGAGAGAATCGTGTTGCTCCACAGATTCCCATTCCAAGAGTTGGCTTACCAGTTTGGTCCAGGTTAGCCTAACAGTGTAGCTCTGTTGCTGACTGGTTAATGTATGATGTGGTGAAAACTCTAGACGGTGGATAAGATGGAGTTTTGATTATAAGACATATTGTTTTGTTTTTTGTTTTTTTGCTGAAGGTGTCTCCACTTCCTGTTTTGAAGTCTGCTTTCCCTGGTGTTTAATCCAGTGTAACTTTATTTGTATTGTATTGCTCTATTTTTAGCTACGTTTTAAAAATAAATTCAATCCTGATTGCACATAATCTTAAAATGATTAAAGATATAAGTTTTATGTATCCAAAAATAAAAACAGTCTTTAGCTCTTGAAGCTAACTGGTTTAGTCCAGCAGGAGGACCAAAAGGAATATTTACCTTTGATAGTTTTTTAAGGAGGGTTTAGTTTAGTGCACAGCTGTGTGCTTCTACAAAACCTAAAGGAAGAGACTCTGATTAATCTCTTATATTATGTCCTGAGTCCTGACATGCAGTGATGTTTATTACACATTGATTATAAAATGTTGACGATGTCTTTGCTGTTGCTGCAGGAGGCCAACCCAAGATGAACGGCGAGTCAGGTGCCGGGGTGGTGACGGCCCCCCCTCCCACCACAGCCCCACACAAGGAGCGCTACTTTGACCGTGTGGATGAGAGCAGTCCTGAGTACCAGAGGGAGAGGAACATGGCGCCTGACCTGCGGCAGGACTTCAATATGATGGAGCAGAAAAAAAGGGTCTCTATGATCCTTCAGAGCCCAGTCAGTGCATTTATTCTGTTAATGAAATCAGTTGTTGCATAAGGAAAAAAAAAGAAATGCTGTTATCCCTTTTTTTTTTGACTTCACTTCCAGGCTTTTTGTGAAGAGCTGGAGACGATGATCCAGGATCAGTTGAAGAAGGGGAAAACGCCCACCAGCCTGTTGGCTTTGCAGCAGATCGCAGACTTCATGACCACCAGCATGCCTTCCATGTATCCAGCTGCACCACAGGGAGGCATGGCAGCTCTCAACATGAGTAAGCAGGAGAGAGAATGAGTGCAGAGGACATCTTGACCCCTGCACAGACATGTCTGTCCTCACAATGAGTACTACAGTGTGCCATTGTTATCAGCAGGACATTGATGCTAGCTGTATTTGACTAAGCCACATATGTTGATGTTTTTAGTGACACTTTATAAACCTTCTTATTCTTGCCTGATATCCTGTTTGTTTTTAGCTGAACTCAACGGCTGTTTTATCACTAGGATTTAAATCAGGTGTGTTTGTTTTGTTTCTTTCTGTTGTGCGTTTCTTCCTGCAGGTTTGGGGATGGTGACGCCAGTCAACGATCTGCGAGGCTCGGACTCCATCTCCTACGACAAGGGCGAAAAGCTTCTCCGCTGCAAACTGGCTGCTTTTTATCGGCTAGCTGACTTGTTTGGATGGTCTGAGCTCATCTACAACCACCTCACAGTAAGACTGCTTCCTGATATGCAGTAAAACAGAATATGTGTAACAGTTTTATCACCTTACTTATACCTAATTCATTTAGAACAAAACTTTGAAGCCTAGTAAGGAGGATTATCAGACCCTCAGAACACAGCCATCTCCACACCAACAGTGTTAATTATTATCGTTAGTATTTTGTGGTTCTTTGTTTATCTGATGTGAAATAGCTGCACTTATGTCTACTTTCTTTTTTTTTTTTCAAACCAGTAAAAAAAAATACTTTTTCTAACAATAGTGTCTGTCTGTCCTTTATGGCTGATTTTTAAAATCTTTCACTTTAGTTCAATTGTTTTTTTAAACCCTTTTTTTTTTGTAAAATCAAATTTAATATCATGCATTTGCATGAACAGTTTATTGCAGAAAAATGGCACACTATATATATATATATATCAGGGGTCACGAATTAAAAATCAGCGAGGTCCGAATAAGGAAAATCATCAACCAGTAAAGGTCCGGAGACGTTTTTTATTATAATTTGTTACTTTAAACAGAATTTAACACTGAAAATGAGGTTTAATGTCTCCATGTTATGCATTGAATTTTTAAATGGAAAGAAAAAAACAAAGTGTTTTTGAAGTAGAGAACGGCAATCGTTCAGTTTGGTATATCGACAATTTCCTGATTCACATATTTTATAAAAATGACTGAACTGACCGTTGGTTATTTTTTTTATGGCTTAGAGAGAGCAGTGGGCTTTAGGTTGACCTGCAAGCTTTAAAGCTAGGTTTGAATGACGACAAAGCCATTCTCAAGCCATTCCAGGCTCATTCGTGAGCTTATATATTCCCAAAAACTAAGACCATTTGTTTAGATGATTGGATGCAAACTATCGGTACTTCAACAAACCAGGAAGCAGATTTCTCATCTCGATCAAAATATTTATTTTAAAAGTTTCATCAAATGCAGTCAAAATGCCCAAGAGCGCCTCTCACAACTTCAAAAGAAACTTCTCATCTCAGGCCTGGATGAAGAGATGCTGAGTTTGGAAGCGGAGATAAAACATAGTTCATACAAACCATGGATGATCCTAGTTATCCCTGTTACAAAAATCCACAACAAAATGAAAATATTTGGGCAGAAACTGAACATATGCTCGCTGGATGATGGATGGTGGGGAT